TTCGCTGGTGGAAATCAGCAAGATGTGACTTTACATATTGCAGGAAGTAATTGAGACACACAGCTGAGAAAAGCAAGCGTAGTATAGATATCACAGTATCTATATCGGATATGCTTATCGTGACAGTGTTTTGTTCTCAGTCATTTGTGGTCACAGTAGTAAGACCCTGACTTGGTGAAATCCCATGAAGTGGGGACCCTTGTGCTACGCCACCGCAGTCAAGGGCTTTCCAAAAGGCTTCCATTTGCTTACGTGTCTTCAGATAAATACACGAGGCATGACCGATTGGCCATTCTCACACCAAAATCACTTCCTTTGCTAAATATGCTTCCGGTAAGGACCTCCACCTCGTAAAGTCTTCTTCCAGCATGACCAGTAGATACTGCAGTTATACGCCTCTCTCTCAGCTGTCCAGATTTCATCGTGGTTTTAGTAGAGGTGTAGGAATAACCAGAGGGCCTGCTTGTTCAATTAAGCTTTTCAAATTAATTACATCATTTGTTTGCCATATATCATATGTTTAAGAATATTTTTTTTCTCTGTATATGCCTCTCAAGCCCTGCTTAAGTGCAGCTTATAAGATGTACATGAGACCTTGATATAAGCTGTATTCTGTCAGACTGACTTTAAGTATCCTAAATAGCACAATGAAGTCATAAAAATAATAAGTCTACTAGATCATGAATACAGTTATTAAGGGGAGTAACGTGATGCTGAGAGTTCGTGTTTTTGCAGCACCTAACATGACAAGACCCAATCTAGTTATAATTAGTCCACACCGCTTCTCAGTTTGCAGGCTGAAAGCCTGCAGCAAAACAGTGAACACCTTGCAAGCAAAGGCTCAGGTCTCATTTTCAATACCGTCAACTAAAAAATAAAACTCCCAACCATGGTAGAGCTATAAATACGGTAAGAGTTTTAAAAATACATTTTTAGGTTTGTGCTTTTTTTGTTTGTTTTTTTTTATATAGCTTGAATACTCATAGGGTGCATTTAGTTAACATTTCCACGTGTTCTGGCAACCGCAAGATTCATCAATTTTCAACATCTTACATCTGAGGTTAACATTTTCCATGTGGCATCCTTAGATAGATGAGCAATAAAAGAGTGGAAATGGGCAGTCTTAGGGTTAATGAGACCTCCTTTGTTATATAATTTGGTCAGCAAAAGGGATGTCTAAGAAATAATGATCTTCCTGATTATGCTTCTTTGGAAATCTCACCTACAAGCCCTCAGATTTCTTCCCTAAATTATTTCCAACGTTCTCAAACCCTGACAGGTGCAACCACCAGCTATACAAAATAAAAGCTGCTAGAAAAACATCCCTCCACTACCACATCAAAATAAGCCCTGCCCATGACCATGTTTAGATCTGAATTAGTAGTATGTTCCAGTCCATCAGACAGAATGAGACTCTCTTCGTTACTGATAAGAACATAGGACACACCATAAAAACCTGTCTCATAATAGATTTTGTTGCTTGGGTTTTGGTTTGTTTTTTTGGTTTGTTTTTCTTTGTTTTCAGCAGGTTTATTTGTTGGGGGTTTTGGTTGTGTTTTGTTTTGTTTTGTTTTTCTCAAAAGGCAAGAATAGCATTTGCTTTTAGTTCTGAAGTCCAGAGTTGTCAGACTTCCAAACCACACCACAGAACTACTACTTAGGTACCTTCTTGCTGCTTGCTACCCCCACTGCTTTCCTTGGAAGCATGGCCACCGAGGCTCAGTGCCACCAAGGCATGCTGGCTTTATGGATGGAGAGTAAAGAAAAATAGTACAGCTACACTGGAGGAGCTGGGTAGAGTTATTTTTCTCATCGGCACTCTATTATCAGTAAACAGTTCGATTGGAACCAAAGCACTAAGCAAAACTTCAGGGGAAAAAATGTCACACTGCTGGAAAGGGTGGTGGGGGGGGTGTTTTCGATGAATTACTTCTGGTTTTATCCAAATCACTTTCTTGAAAATTCTCATCAATAACAGGACACTGTTATTTGTCTCAAAGAAGCTTTTCAGTGATCCAAAATAAAATTTCTTTTAATTAGAGAATTCTAAAAATCCCAGGGGTTTTGAGAATTTATTTTTTTTTCCCACAAAAAATCACAACATGTAATCCATTATTAAAATCATTTCTGGTACCCATCAAAACTATAAATGCTAAATATTAGAAAATATAAAGCTTGTTTTCTTTGGAATTAGCCTCAGAAAAATAATCTCAATAGCAAGAATGGTGTTTTTTTATAGTAGGTTTTTTTTCCCCAAGCCATAGGCTCTTGCTAGGACTTAACAAATAAGACTGAAAGCCATTAAAAAAAAGGGAATGGATCAGGTATGAACTGATAAAACTTCCCGCTTCTTTGACCTTGTAAACTTCTCATCATAATGCATGACACAGCAGGAAGTTTTCCTCGAAGCAGTAGGTATATATATCCTCTTATTGCCTTTACTGGCTTAAACCTAGTTTTTCACATTAATTACTGTTCATTTATTGAATGGAAAACATGCATTTTTAATTATGTTAGTTGAAATGTTGGCCGGTTGTGAAACTGAGTACTTGGAATTGGTCCATTCGAGCCACGTGAATCAGCAGTCCTGTTTTATAGCTTTTGCATTTTTTCACTTCAGCATTTCAAACTGTGATCCTTGCACAGAGGAAAATCTGGTAGAGAAAGATAAAAGGCTCCATCTAGTGGGCATGATCTTTTTATATAAAGAAAACAAAAGGCAAGATTTTCACTTAATTTTATGCATGAGGAAAGACTGCTTTAGATTTTGTTTCATTAAGCTGCCATGTTGTTCTTAATTCTTGCCTTCCACAGAGCCATTATTTCATATGCAAAACTGAAACATTAAGAATTATTCTGACAGTCTTGAGCAAGAAGCTATAAATGATACTAAATGACTGGGTTTATAAAGAAGAGCTGATCCACAAAGTTCTTCCTCCCCTCCCTTCAAGCTTCAATATATAGTAACCAAAAATGGATAATTTGTGTGTCAACAAATACTTTAAACTATTTAAGGTTGTTTCCTACTTAAAACAGACTGGAAACATTCATAACTTGACAATAACACTTAACACGGTATTTTGGGAGGATTTTTACACAGAGGACTCTGTCTGTGTGTTGCCTCATTTTCATTAAATGACTTGTTTACCCGCAAAGGGTGAAATCCGGGTTCTCTGGCAACTCAGTCCAGTGCCTGAGCTTCTGGCAAGGCATAACCTCATCAGCCTCTGCTGGCTCTTCCAAAGGCAAACACCAAAACTCAGTTGTCCTGGCATTTGTTTAGGAGCCTGCCTAGCACTGTTGTGTGTCCAAAATCATCCTGATAGAATCTAGCACCTTTATTTTAGGTATGTAATTGATCTAGTCCAGTACTTTTTTCTTTTTTTTTTTTTTTTTCTCCTCTTTGCTGAACTTCTGCACTGCATTGCAGTTATGCTCCAAACTCCGGAGAGATTCACGTGGCAGGACTCTTCAGTTTAAAGCAGCAGTGAAACTCAGGTGTTATTCCCTCATTCCAGCCAAACGTGGCCAGCAGCTGAAACCTCTTCAGTTCGTTTCAGGCTAATACCAAGAGTGGGAGCAGGAACAAGTAGCAGCAAGTGCAGATTTGGCAGAAGAGACACCAAACCACGCTGCACGTCCTGCTTTTTTTTCAGACTGTCTCTTTTTCAAGCCATACAGCCTGGCAAGATCAATTCCTCCTGTGCAGTTTCCAGCAACGGGCAGACAGTGGAACATGCATTGTAATAATGCACTACTACGCCCAAGTTTACTGTAGCCCGTGTTCACATCCACAACTGGAATATTTGTCTCCTGTGCAAATCACAAACTACAGCTTAATATGTTGTTTTGCACACCTCTTGATCACAGGGAGATCTCCATTTGCAGTTGGCCACTTGATAGCAAATCCAGAGGATTCCTCCTTCAGTATTAATGCACGATTTGGCAATTCTGACAGCACACAGACATGCTGATCTGGCTGAACAGTTCTCCCCAGCCGCAGCTCTCCTTGTATCCTTCACAGAAATGTAACCCTCAGTGGCACCAGTGAATAAGAGCTGTCATTTGGTTTGTTTTACAGACTAAAACAAAGGATAGTCTTGGAGTTCTTACTCTGAACCTTTATATATACAGACTGGACTGGTCTTGGAGTGCCTTTGGGGGGCTCATGTTTGCAAAATGCAAGTGATGCTATCTCCAAAAGGGAGGAAATGGGAGATAAAAACTAAAACTGCCTATTTTTTTTTGGTTTTGGGGACAGCTTTTATCCTTGGCCTCAGCTTGTAGGAATTCTCTGTAACCCTTAAAACACAGCAGTTGAAACAATACAGAACTGTTGTTTAAAACTGCACAGATATTTCAAAATTATCATTACAACTGCACTGTTAGCAGTGTTAAACTCTCCTAAAATTGACACTAGCTATTTGTTAGAGTAATGCCTCTTGGTTTCTAATGCACATGGACACCTGCCTCACTAAGCGTGCAATAGAAGAAAAGATGCCTACTTACTTCAAAGCAATAATACTGCTTTTAACTGCTGGCTTTTGCTCTAGAACTTTTCAAATTTTAAGAGATTATAGGCTTGCTGCTGAGCTAAAGCAAATCCCATGTTTGGAACTACAGTAAGATCCTCTGCCTCGTTTTAGTTTAAATACCTTGACTAGCACTGGTACTTGAGCTGATGCTAATGAAATAGAAATTTCCAGATGTGAAACTCTGGAGAACATTCGACAATCTGCTTTTGTACTAATCTGCTGTAAACTCAAAATGTTATTTTGCGGATTAAGTATTAATTTATTCTCTCTACACGTCATCATATAGTCTCATACAAGCCCTCTAATTAATATCTAATGTTGTTATTTTAGATGTTGTTTATCTGGATTAGATTTACTCAGCTGTTTTCTTCCTTCTTTGCGGGAGCAGCAGTCTTTACGACCATAAATGCACATCAACACATTTGTTTCAAGAGTACCACCAAGTCTCTCACTTATTTTTCATAGGTAACCAGGTGCTGAAATTTGGAACACTTGTCAGTACTTCCAACACCTATGACGGCTCTGGGATTGTGACCATTGAGACGGACAAGCCTTTGCTGTGGACAATGGCTATCGAAAGATAAGATCGGCTACAGCTGCCTTTTCTGATCTGATTCAACGCAAGTTACTGCAAAAGTTCACTGAATTAAGACAGTAAAGCTGTTCCAAAAAGATATAAGCAGGCGCTGATTTTATGTACTGAATGGAAAACAAGTATGAAATAAAAGTCACTTGAGATCAAATCAAGATTAGTAGCGATAACTGAGTTCCTCATTCTGGTACCTCACACTACTTAATCACAAGACACATGAGCTGCCACCCAATACAATCACAAACAGAAGTGAATGTAAAGAAACTGCTACTGCTTTGTCTGGTTAGTTCAGTCTATTTGCACAAAGTATTTTATTCCAATACTGAACTATTTTTTCCCCCTTTGCCAACAGGAAATACATTACACAGTTGCACATAGTATAACTATATTAAAAGGTGATAGCACTAAGAGTAGGTAATCTCATTTTTCTGGCCTGGTTTGTAACATATGTAGGTGCTGGTGAGGATTTCTCAAGAAGAGTAATAATTGAACTTTTCTACTTATGAAGCAAGTTTGTGTACTGAAGAAGCTTCCGTTTTGCTGTAATACCACCATCAGATTTCCCAGTATTAAGTGCCTGTAATAGAAGTGGCATTCTGCAAATACCAAATGCTTACAGTAAGCTTTTTGGAGTGAAACACGAATTTGTTAACCTCAATCTGAGGAGGAAGAGCATTGCATCTACCAGAGTTTTTGCAGGCTTACTTTTTAAAATCAAAATATTCAATCATTTAATAACGGAAACTTCCAGGTCAACAAGTGCAGAGCCCTTTATAATTCTATGTGCAGCTGTCTTACAGAACCAGTATCCAAAACAGGTATATATCCTATCCAACAGTGCGAGCAAGTTGTGGATTCACGGAATGACTGCTTATTATCTCTGACAACTAAATCAACCTCAAACTGTACATCTTGGTAACCAGCTAAGTTTGGCTTTCTTAATTAGGCCATCAGAATAAGGATTGGCAATGGACGTTCTTTATTTGATGGAGTTTTTTTTCAGTCAAGTACATAATATAACCTGACAGGATTTTCAAATGCAGAAAGGAGTTAGGTGTAATGATGGTGATTCCAGAAATTAGTGATAAGAATTCCAGTTGACAGACTTTTTTTTTTTTCCAGTTGAGAGGACACAGTAATGCTGTTTTCTTGCTGTCAACTTTTGCTGGCACAATGCTGTTTACTAAGCAGTAAATTAAGCATTAGAACAGCTTCTGAAGAGAGGCTGTACAGTTGTCACCCTTGGAGGTTTTCAATACCCAACTGGACAAAGCCCTAAGCAACCCTGTCAGAATGCAACACTGACCCAGCTTTGAGCACGAGGTTGGACTAGAGACCCTCCCAAGGTTCCTTCCTACCTGAAAGATTCTATTACAGTTGAAAGTAACAAAAACAAGCAAACAAAAAACAAAACATAAAAACAACCCCACACTCTACTACTAAAAAAAAAAACCTGTGACATAGACAGGTATGATCGCATACGCTTTAGAAGAGGAATAAGATGACAAGAATGTTTGAAAACCCAAACTGAGCTTGTTTAATAGCAAACAAGTTACAAAGCTGTGAAATCTTTGCAGCAAGTGTCACAACGTCTTGTTCTTCATGATGAATATTCAGCCACCTCTGTTGAGAGAAGAAAGTAATCAGTTTTAACTAATCAAGTGCGATCAAGTGATTCCATCTGAAGTCTTAATTTGTCCTCCCTCCTTGTTAGGACAAACATTACTACCATTACAGCTTATCTACTATTTTCAAAACATCTCTCCTTGCCTAGAAGGCCACTCTTACAGGTATAAGCAAGCCACATGTCATGTCCACAGAATAGTATTTAACCTGTTCCAGTGCTAGAAAAGGGATAACATCAGCTCTGGACAATCTGCGGAGTATTAATTGGTAGTTTTAATGTCAGTACCGTGGCTGCCAGTCAACTTAAGGTTGAAGTATTTTATGCTGCAATGTTCATTGCAAAAGGTATTTTACAGAATGCAGTTACACATAAAATGAAGTTTCAAACATATCTGGCACTCAGTAAATTAAACAAGACCAACTTCGTTCTGTGCCCTATCATCTTCCAAAATGCTCACTTTGTTTTCTCTACCTTACTGTCCATGCATTTACTTTGGATACCCAAATTATAAACTGGAAGCTGTAAGAGTATGTAAGATCCAAATAAGGTAAATGTTCAGTGGATAAACACACTGAGGAACTGGAAAGCAAAATATCTGACATTCAGTTTTGAAGCAGAATACTTGAAAAAAAATGAAGAACTCTGGACCTAATATTTTGCAGCACGCTAAATTAATGATCTACTTCCTGATCAAGTAATACCTGTCCTATTACACACACAACACGTGAAATGCAGATGTAGTAAAGCAATGTGGATCCTGTAGGGCTCCCTAACATCCTCTATTTAAAATTGAACAGGTAGAAATGAATGTAAAATTTAGTGAAATTGCAGGTTCATATTTACTTACACAATGATATTGTTGATTGGGATATGGATCAATTTGACAAAGAAACCAATAAATCCCATTATCGCAAAGCCTATTGCTGTTGCCATGGCAATCTTCTGGAACTCTGCAAAAAACAAACAAAAAAAAATTAATCTAGGACACCTTGTGTATGGCATAAAGGAGATGTGCACTACAGTGACCAAAGGAAAATGGCAGAAATGGTAGAAAATGGTAATGCTAACACAGGAAGCAGTTCAAAAGCAAATGACATTGATGTTGAGAAACAAATCTGCTTTTTCAGAAGACACATGAGATTTTAAAAGAGAAGATGCTGCTTTCCACAAAGCATGGCTGATCTCTTTTTTTTTTTTTTTTTTTTTTTAAATAGTAAGCAGAATCAGAAATACCCACAGTCCATAACAATTCATGGACCATTTATTCCATTGTCTTTCTTTCATGTCCCCACAAGCCCTGAAAAAGATCCCCAATACAGTATCATAAATGGAAAAGCTACATTTATGTCTGTCACAGGAAGACAGCTTCTTAAGTCCCCGCAAAAATCGAGTACTTAAGTGGCATTCTCACTTATTTTAAGACACCAACCATCAGGTGGACTAAAAAGGTCAACAGTCCCTCACAATCCTGCCAGTCTGACAACGAATGGAGTTCCTTACTGATCTCAAAAGATGTCTGTAAACTTCAGTGTGACCATGCAAATAAAGCATTTGCAACTACTACCCTTAAGGACAACCAGTTACATTCTGGTTATAGTTACAGCTTCTCTCTAATGCCCTTGAGAAAGCTCAAAATTCTTCTTCTGTACTTCCAGCAACAAAGTTCCTCCTGTCCCAATCAGGCAGTCACTGACAACTGTGAAGTACTGAATGGGCCCTGCAAAAGGCAATCCTAGCTACCTTCTAGTCTCCTAAAATAAAGTGTTTCCTCCAAGGTCATGTAACAAGCAGTTTCCTCCAGAATTTTCTCCAAGTTGACTGCAATCAGTTAAACTTGCCTGCTGCATTTGTCTTTTCAAAGTGCACACAAGGTCTTCTCAGGTCAGTTTACCCAATACATGAAAATTATTACTTGCCTGTCTCAAAATAGCAAATTTCAGCTACTTAGCCTATTTCATAAGAGGAGTTTTAGTACCACTCTCACACACCTGACTGAGTACATACCAGAAAGGGACAGACATATTCAAGTTAGTTATAACCAACACCATAAACCCATTACCAAATTGACAACTGCTCAAGTTTAGATCTTGTATTGGAAGCTGAGAAGCATTCATGACAAATAAATCAAGTCCCAGATGGAAAGATACACAGTTAAGAGAGAAGAGGAAATGAGGATTGTGTCCTGTTCTATGGCGTGCTTTACCTTTCCTGTCAGGCTTGGTGCATCTTTTAACTAGCCTTATGGAGTCTTTTACAAACTGACGGCTGGGTTCCACGAATTGCATTACCTGATCCATGATTACCTGCAAAGATGAAGGGATTTAGTATTGGTGCTGCCAACACATACACTGTGAGAGTTTTTTCATTAGTGAAGTGGGAGTGCTACTAAATTTATAAAGACTTAAGATAACTTAAAATGTCATATTCCAAGCTAACTGGACTTTAAAAAGATACTTTCACTTTGCAGAAAATAAAGACAGTGTCAATATAAACATGATGATCCGACCACTACCTACAAAAAATACGAAAGATTATGCCTTTTGGCAAAGAAAACACCAGCTCCACCACAGCTTGCTTTCAGCTTATGGCCCACACGTGGCTGTTTTTTTTTTTCCTGAGAACATTTCTGAAGGAATCTAGATAGACACAAGTAACCCGTTTCATGAAATCCCTAAGGCAAAAACTGGCGGGGGGGCTGGTGAGCGCTGACAGAAACACCACGGCCGAATTTTAATCTCAAAACCAAGCACCTGCCAGCCCAGGCAGGGCAGCCGGCTAGCGGCATCGGCGTTCCTTAATCCCGACCAGACCCCCCGATAGATACCAGGGTCCCTCCTACCGGACCCTCTCCCGGCGACTCCCCCCTCCTTGTCACGGCGGCCGAGGCCGGGCCGCCCT